TGCTAACCACTACACCACCACTCCTCCACCAAATAACAGAAAAGTATCGATAGTGGTATCGATATCAATAAATATTAACTATCCCCATCCCCTGGAAAAGCAAATGAGTTCAGTTCTGCTGCCATAGTGCTGAACAGGAGTGAGTGAGTGAGTGATCAGCTCTTTAGAGGCGAGGGACTGACCCACATGGCGGACGCTCTCGGTCAGGGCCTCCACGAACCCCCGGACGCGGCCGGCCACGGCGTAGGCGTTGCTGCTGATCTGCCGGATGTTTTCCAGAACCGCTGGAAGCAGCACAGGCGTGGGGTCAGGTGTGGGGTTTCTCCCAGCTCTGCGGGAGCCGCGCCGGCCTTACAGAACAGGGGCGTGGCCGCCTTCTGCATCAGCTCCTGCGTCTGATTGGCCGCCAGCTCGGCGCCGCACAGCAGGCTGGACGCCGCCCGCTTGGTGTTCTCCAGCGTGTTGCTCAAGGGCCCGGTCAGCAGCGCCGACGCAAACAGCAGCAGGAGGAGCTTCCTCCCGTGGCCTGGAGGACATGTTTCTGTTTCATTTCTACATCAATTATGTTTAAGCTAATGATATTTTATTTTTATTTAAAGTACATTTTTTTGTTTATTATATTATTCTACTGCTCGGCCATTCTAACACAAAATTCATATTATTCTTTTAATTCATAATCTAATCTAATTAATTATTTCATTGTTATTTTTCAGATTTTCATTTTGTTTCATATTGTCAATATGATTTACTTTATCATTATAATCATTTAGTTTAATACGGCTACTATTATTTTTTGTTCATTGTGATCTTAATTTGCTTTATCTTAAATCATATGGATTTATGGATTTTATTCAAATCACATTTAATTAATTTGATCTAATAAAATGTTTTGCTCTAATCTTTTTACAATTTAGGCACCAAGACAATATGTCTTATTTTCTGTGTTTTTTAACTTTGCTAAGGATGTCTCAATCCTGATGCTCTGACCTCTTTTGTCCGTCTGGTTTTAGTCGTTGCTTCTGCACCTCCATATATTAGTGAAATTCTGAGGTGTCACCAGCCCAGCAGAACACTTCAGTCTGCTGGTCAACATCTGCTGGAGGTCCCACGGTCCAGGTTCAAGCAGTGGGGTGACCGCTCCTTTGCAGTGGCAGGACCTAAACTGTGGAACTCTCTGCCCACTGAGTTACGTTCATTTACTGACCTGCCTCTGTTCAAAGCTCACCTTAAAACGTATTTGTTCAGGATGGCTTTTTGCACGTAGGGTCTCTGTATACTGGGTTCTGTCACCGATGTGTTTGTCTTTGTGTATTATTTTGTATTTTTCGATAGTTCGATCTGTTTTTTTTGTTTTTTTAATTCTGTAAAGCACTTTGATCAGCGCCAGTTGTTGTAAGGGGCTATATAAATAAACACTGATTGATTTATTGATTGATTGATTGATTGATTGATTGATTGGGGGATGGATAAGGTTCTGACCTGAGCACATGGAGGGCAGCATGACCGTTACGGTGGCCCTGACGCCGGCGGACAGCCCCATGCCGAAGGCGGCGAGGCCGGCCAGCGCCACGGTGCAGTAGACGCAGAACCAGAGCGGCTGTTTATGCAGAAGCAGGGCCGCGGCGCCGTGCAGGGAGGCCAGCAGCAGCCCCGCCCCGAAGGCCGCCAGGCTGAGCCCCGCCTCCCACAGGTGGGCCCGGACACGCCCGCCTCTGCCCCCGCGGCAGCCCGCCGACCTGAGGAGAAACAGCAGAGGAAGACTTAGACTTAGACAAAGACTTAAACTATATTGATCCTTTGGGAAGACTCCCTCAGGAAATTAAGGTTACCAGCAGCTAACAGGGGAAAAAAGTGGCAGAAAGAGAGCAAAATTAAAGGAGACATGTTATACCCTATTTCAACATATATATAAATATATATATATATATATAAAATTAGACTTAGACTAATTTTAGACTTAGACTTAGACAGTACTTTATTGATCTCTTGGGAAGACTCCCTCAGGAGAGACCAGCAGCCAACAGGGCAAAAAAGTGGCACAAAGAGAGCAAAATTAAAGGAGACATGTTATACCCTATTTCAACATATATATAAATATATATATATATATATAAAATTAGACTTAGACTAATTTTAGACTTAGACTTAGACTTAGACAGTACTTTATTGATCTCTTGGGAAGACTCCCTCAGGAGAGACCAGCAGCTTACAGGGCAAAAAAGTGGCACAAAGAGAGCAAAATTAAAGGAGACATA